AAGAGTTTATAAAGTTYTATGATTGGACCGCTCAGCTTTAAGGCCAAAAAGAAACTTCCAGTTCTGTTTACACTGAATYTTTTCAGCTAAAATTCAAAGACGACATCCTGAAGTCAAAGTGTTTGGAGGGGATTTGTTACATTTTGATTTTAATCCCAGGGAGGCTTGTTTTCTGTCCTGAAGCTTAAATCTTTGTTTGGTGACTGAACTCCAAACGACCATCCGTTCTGTAAAAGATGAACGTACACAAACCTTGTGCTCGGCCTTCTTCTGGCTCTGAGAGGACTTTCTGTGTCCATGTTTGTCCAGTTGAAGAGCAGTTCACTTTATTGGTAAAAACTTGGTCCAATAAGCTCCAGTAGCGAATGTTGTGTCAAAAAAAAAAAAGAAGAAAAATAAATATCTTCCTTTGTTCGTGGTTCCCACCTTCCAGAAGCTCGACCATCAGTCCAAGTATTTTATTTATGTTCTGGTTTATCCGGAGACTTGTCCCCATCCATGCCTGGTTGTTTCTTGATTTCCTCTGGAGCTGCAGCCCCAAACCAGACAGACAAAAGAGAGGAAGCCCTGCCAAGTCTCTTCACTGCAGACATGGGTTTGGTTTTGTTTTTCCCCCTCTGCTCCCTCGCGTTTTCTTCGCCTCTCCACATCGTGGCAGCGTTCCCGAGAAGCTTTGGCGATCCTCCAACAAGTCTGCCATTCTGTCTGAACCTTCCCACCCGTTACCGATCGTCCTTTCGCTGCGGACCGCCCGCCTTCCTAACCCCTTCGCTCCCACAACTCCCCAGTCCAACCCCTTCCAGTTCAGCCAAAACCTCAAACACGTGTCACTTTGGGTGAATTTAGTCCMGCCCCGTTCACTCGTTCCGGTCCTTTCTACCCCTGAAACAGAACTCTGTCAATACTCTCTGCCCTCCAGTCACCCGCCAACCTTTCCACGTTCTCCTTGTTAGTAAAGCCCGGCAGAAAGGGCAGCGAGGGTGTGCTTCAGGAAYTGTCCTGAGCTCTTTGTTCGCTGCCAGACCAGATCTATTCATCGTGTGCCAAGGCTCCGTGCCCCCACTTGTAGTGAAGAGGGGGCAGGTTGGTGCCAACTGCGCCTACCGCCAACTTGGTGCTGCAGTCGGTGCACAGAAAGCTCTCTATCTCACAAACACACAAACACATGACTTCTGTTTGAGCCAGAAGACACTGATCTTTACCATGAAGAACAGGATCAATATGATCCTGATAAACCTAAGCCCAAATGATACCCAAGACAAACTTCACAACTAATCCTAACTAAGAAATAATTGTTTTGTCAAACCTTGAATGCATAAAATAGATAAAAGTTGTATACGGACATTACTAAATCAAAGTAGAACCATTTTAAAATATAAGTAGACATGGGTTTTTACGATGTAAAAACAAGTGTGCATTGCCTTGTAGCATTCTTTGCCTGCAGCAGTGGACTTGCAAAATGAAATGTGACCAAGTTCAAATGTGTTTTCTATACCAGCTTGTGCTTGTCAAGTCAGCAGGTGTTTGTAATAAGGGTAATTGTGTGACAATATGAAGTTTGTGTTTCTGTTAAAGTTACTGTTGCTGGGTTTCTAACCCTGATCTCCTACATGAAAGCCCATGGCACTAACCATGAGACCATTAGAGCTGTGGTAGAGAACGAGGCCAGGGTTTGGTTTGTATGTGTGCAGAAAGTGGCCACATTGCCAATGTAATGGTTGTCACTAAATTGAAAAATATTACAACAATAAAGCAATATTAGGACAATATTATAGTAAAACTTCAAAATACAATCATATTATTATTGTAAACACTGAAATATTGAGATTAAATATTATTAAACTATGGTGCAGTTCTGAGTAGATACAGCAGGGGCAGTATTGGACCAATACAAGGCTCCATTGACCCCCATTATAAATTATTAAACATGAATATTTCCAAAAATATAAGTTGTACAGGCACCAAAGGTCATAGCCATCATTTGGCACAGGGGCTTTACAGATATAAATTACAATGGCAGCTCTAGGACAAAGTATGCAGGAGGAGAAGCATGCCAAAGTGGAGATMACTTGGATGAGAAACGAATCACAATAGTGTGTATTGCATTGGCAATGCACACTGAAAAGTAAAAAATTAAGACTATATTTTGGGTTTGATGCCAAGAGGAGGACTGAAAAAAAAGGAAGTTAAGATACTCCAAATCTGTTTTATGGTAGTGATGAAAATGATAACACGTTCTTGGTTTCAAGCACTGCCTCCCTCACTTGTGCAACGGCAAAATGGTTTGAAAAATGTTTACATAATGGAAAAAATTACAGCAAAACTTCATTTCAAACCGGATCTGTTTACAAATTTATGGGCCCCTGTCACTGATTACTTTGGTTGGGTTTAATTATGAATATTTGTTGTCTTCAGTTGGTAAATTAATACATCTTATTTTTATTTTTACTGTGACACATCATTGTGGAAAGTGTATACATGTTTTATTTGGCTAGAAATTTGTTTTTATTTTTTTTAGTGCATTACATGTAAAGTCGCTATTTGTTTTTTTATTCTGACTGTATTTTTGATGTAATTGCATATTGAGGATAAAATTTCTCAAATATATTAATAAATATTTAAAATAAAAGAAAAAGTAAAAATTTAAATTGTGAAATCACACCCATTTAGTGATAGGACACAATAAGACAAATATTATTCATCCCATGTAGTCACTTGGCCCACATATGAAACACTGATTAAATCTGTATTTTTTGCTACAATGAAATGAGCTCTTTAGATGAATGATAAGAACAGAAAGGATTCTTTAGAGCAAAAGGAAAAAACAAACAAACTATGAAACACTGAAAATATAGTCAGTTTTTAAAAATGGTAAAATGTTGAATACTCCAACTAAGAGCTTTTTGAGTGCAGTAACTTTCTAAATACAAACAATACAAATATGTCAATTTTACAAATTTGACAATTACTTTATTCACCACTAACCTTTATACCTTCTTTAATAGAACTATTATTGKGTATTTGTGATATATCTACCAGGGGCGCCAGCAGGGAGGGGGCCACGGGGGGCCAGAATAAGCTGGCCACCCTAGTGCCCCCCCAGTTTTACCCTCTTGAGTACCCAGGTTTTTCCATTTTCAATTCCCCTACCTATTTAGGAATAGAACCTCATAAATATAAAAACAAAACACTGATTTTTTTTAACAATTAAGAGTTAAAAAC